CAAGGAGTTTTATCCATTTCATTACTTCCGAAATCCAACTTCCATTAAAAGCACTCATGATGATTAGCTTGTAAAATTTCTCTTTCGTATGCTCAAATCACTTTTTTTCATGTTCATACCAACACTATGATTTCGTAGTGATGAAGTTTCCTCTGACACTACCACTCTCGATATCCATAGTAGCATACAGGACTTTACGACCTACTAGGGCTACTTGATCACTTTCATTTGAAGCAATTCACTAATTTACGTGGGTACATCCTTATTCCCTTTTTAGTCGTATAGATTATGGGGTGAATGGTAGCTCAATTTAAACATTCTAGAATTGTATTGTATGACTCTAGAATCATACAATTTGATCTCTTACGATCCTACAATCGTAGTGTGCAATTGAACGTTCACTACGATCGTATTTTGGTTGCATCTCCTTCGATACAAGTCTATTTTATCTAAACGTTTATTCATTTTTGCACGTTTAAGTTTGCCAAAAGTCAAGTTAAACAAGCCATAACTTTAAGCTCAAATGGTAATTTTTTAAATCAAAGTGCTGAAAAAGAAAGGAAGAAAGAAAAGGAGAGGGAGGAGAATGTTTTGTAATAAAAGGGTAAAATGGTAATTTCACCCATCGAAAATTAGAGGGAAATTTATTTTCATTGCAATCGTTGCCTGCAGATTCAACGGGATATTCGAAAGTCGTCACCGATCTCTTACACTGCAATCTCCGGCTCCCATTTTTAAATTTTCTCTCAACAAAGGGATCACAAATCATCCAATTTTTCGATCAAGTATGAGCGATATGATTTCACAGGCGGGGGATTCCGATTCGAAATTGGGATCAGATCCAACCAGTCGAATCGCCGAAGTGAAGGAGTGGTTGGGATCCGAATTTGGGAGGGCAGGCAAAGAAGTTCCCGATTTTGAATACACGCCTCGAAGCGTCTCTCATTTGCATAATCTCTGCACGCTTTCGCAAGCCAAGACACACGCTGCTGAGATTCTTGCCAAAGACTTCCGCCTCAAGGCCGCCGAGTACCGCGCCCAAGGTTAGGGATTATCTTTGAGCTTTTGTTTGGTGAAATCTTTAAGGGTTTTGTTTCTTTTGATTGATTTTTTTTTGGAGCTTTAGCGGCGAGGATCAGGGAGATTTTGGAGAGCGTGGGGATGGCGCAGGAGAATTTGCCCTCCAATGTGGTTTCATCGGCGCAGGTTCTTGCGAACGTGGCGAATTTATTGAACATTAGGGATACTGAGCTCAGTAGGTAAGGAAACCCCTAATTTTTCTCTACGTTTGGTGTATTTGTTGTTGTCTGTCGAGTCTTTGATTGAGAGAATGTTAAATGTAGCTGTCTGGTTGCAATGGGTGATATCACTTTGAGGAAAATTAGTGTTGAGGAGAAGAGGACGAAGGTGGAAAAGGATTCTAAAGTTCTTCTTGATCATACTCGAAAGGCAATTGCAAGACTGACATATTTGAAGAGGTTAGTTTTTTGGTGAAATTTCTTAGAGAATTTCTGTGGTTCTTAAAATTTAGTCACTTTGCCATGAACTCGGCAGAACACTAGCACAGCTAGAAGATGATGTAGCTCCATGTGAATCTCAAATGGATAATTGGAAGACAAATTTGGCTGTAATGGCTGCCAAGGAGAGGCAGTACATGCAGCAATGTGCAAACTACAAGGTACTACTTGTTCTTTTTGTTTTGCTACTTGTTAGAATAAACGGGTTTATGAAGTTTAGAGATTGTTGTGCATCTGGATGTAAGTTTTTCCTAGCATAGAATCCAATGGGTGGCTTGGTGATAGGGATGTTTGGAGATATCCTCCAAGTCTTGGGTTGAAACCCTTCAATAGAAAACTTGTTAAATTAAAACCGTCCTTGTCTTCCAAGACTGAGCTTTGGAGGGTTTGGAGGGGGGCTAGAGACCCAAAGTTCGCTGGCTTCAGAGTTCGCGAAAGCCATAACCTGGGCCTGGTCCCCAATGCTCGAGGCCGGGTTCTTAATGGCAGTAGTGCTAACAATGTCGGTTCTATAGTCAAGCCGATCAATAATTTTACGGAAGATCAGGGGTGAATTGGGACCTCCAAGTGGTGAACCAGTCCTATGAGTGGGTTGAGAGGGCTATTGTCTTTAGGAAGTCTTCGGGGGGTTTTGTTACCGAAAGTTCACCCTTTCCAGAGTTTGTCTTGACATTTGTGCCGAAGTTCATCGTAACATGGACTTGTTAGAGCTCCATCCTTAAGTGGGTAAAGCTTCCTTGCATATTTGTGGGCACATGTTACATGCAAGGAGTGGAGTGCCCATGATGCCCAAGTCGGTAAAAAAAATGTTTTGGAGCATAGATATGTTGTATATTATTAATTTGATGGTGAAGTTGATGAACCTTCAACTCCATTCATGAATTATATTGGCATGGCAAAATACGAAAAATCACGTTTCTTCTTCAAAACTGCAAGTTCACAATACTTTAGGACGTATTCTAAAGGCTTATCTCATTCAAAATGGAGATTTGAACATGTGATTTGATGAAGTATTTTATGGACAGGCAATGCTTAACCGTGTGGGTTACTCACCAGATATTAGCCATGGGGTACTGGTTGAAATGGCTGAGCACAGGAAAGAGTTGGAGAAGAAAACTAAGCCCATCCTTGATACTTTAAGGAGCTACCAAGATCTGCCCCCTGTAATTCTCTCCACTGCCAATTGTTTTTAACCTTTAACTTCACCAAAAGAGAAAATAAAAGGATTAAACTTCGCATTTTTGCCTTAATTACAGGATAAAGCTTTGGCTGCTTTAGCAATTGAGGATAAGAAAAGACAGTATGCAGCAGCTGAAAAGTATCTTGAAGATGTGCTTCATTCCGCACTCACCACGACGCACTAGCTTTGCTTGGACAGCCTTAAGCTTATCGGTAAATTGTTGTGTTGTTTGTGCGTTAATTTTAGTAGATGATAGTGAAGAAAGGTGTATAGTCAATATTGAGGATTATGCATGTTTCGAATGCTGGCAACTGAGTATATTTTGTAACATTATGACATTAGGAACTTGAGTTCCTTGTTATGAATACAGTTTCTTTTGTTTTTTTAGAATGGTACATAGATTTGAAGAACTTGGTTAACAATGATTGGTTAAAAGAAAATTATGATTGATATTGACTGATAGTATGTGATGTAATTTTTTGCTATGGCTCCTGTAACGATTTAAGCCTACCGCTAGCAGATATTGTTTTTTTGGGTTTTTCCTTTCGGACTTCCCCTCAAGGTTTTTAAAACACGTCTGCTAGGGAGAGGTTTGCCCACCCTTATAAAAGATGTTTCGTTGTCCTCCACAACCGATGAGAGATCTCACACCTCTATGATTGAATCATAATTGAACTGGAAAGTTTTATTTCTTTCATTTCCTGTACTTATGACACTATTGCTTCTTGCTTGTATAACTAATGAATTCCATTCAAGCTTTGAGTGCTTCTTGCAGATTGACTCAAATTCACGGCTGAAATGGCATTTGAGCTAGATTTTGATAAGATGGATGTATAACCTTTTGCTTGTGTTAGCATCCAGTGAAAATGGAATAGTGCCTTCATGTTTCATGCTCTTCCTTGCTCACTTCCTCGTGCTCGTGCTCGTGCTCGACTAATCCAATGTAATTGTGTCCTCACACTCGTGCTCTCCCTCCACTCCCGCGCTCTCATGCGCCTCACATCATGCTCAACGTTTCCGGAATGCATTCCTCAACTTATAGCCCCCTTCATCTCTGTAAGGCAACTCAATTTGGATCCAGTGAATCAAAAGGAAGCTAATTTGGGTGTAAATGTAGACCCAAATGAGGAGATTAATGGTGAAGTTTTGGGGTAAAATGAGGGTATTGTTTCAGGTGGGAGTTCTGATATAAGAGGAGATGTTTTGATGAATACTGAGTAAGTTTGGGTTGTTTTAGATTGGGGAGATGAGGAAGGACAGAGGGAGACAGCAAAAGATTATACATCGTTGATTTAGAAAGTGTCATTCTTTTGGGTATTTAAATTTGGATCTCTTAAGCAATATCATATCGGGTCAATTTACACACATTTCAGATAGTTTAAACGATATTAGTAATAGCTACAACATAAACATATGAACTAACATAAAATTTATATTTTTGACCAAAAGATCAAAGGTTTGAATCTCTCGCTCCTATGATATCAGATCTAGACAAGCACGCAACAACGAACCTTAGTCTGCTTTTCTCCTAATGCTTAGAAATAAATTTAAAAAATCTAGAATATTGATTTTCTAAATTTCAACTTATCAATATAAATATAAATATACTTTTAATATTTAATTCATAGTCAATAACAAAACGATAAAAACGTTAAGAAAAGTGGAAATTTCTTTATGGGAATTTAATTATGAATGGGAAATCTCCCCAAGGTATTAGAATTCATTCATGCCTAAAGGCGATATAAAATAACCTAGACTATTCGAGAGGGCTAGTAAACTCTCACTTTAATATAAAGCTAGGTAACGTTCTTTACCTATGTATATGCTACTCGCACTAACATGGTGGTCAATCTACCCTTAGGTAACTAACTTGTCAAGGCTAAAATTCCTTTTCTATCTGTAATAGCTCAAGCACACCGTTAGCACATATTGTTCAATAATTCAAAGTCTAAACTCACCGCTAGTAATATTGCCTACTTTATAGCAAAAGCGTCTATTAGGGAGAAGTTTTCTTACTAAGAAATGATTTATTCCCCTTTTCATAAATAAAAAGGCTACTATCATTACTATTTGATCTTTGAGTTTTTGTATTTTTTTTTCCCACCAACTAAATAAAGAGAAACAATTAGCTTGTCGTGGTTTAAATAGACCACCTTGTAGCCTAACTCTATTGTATTCTCATTAAAGTATCAAATAGTTTCGTTAATAGTTATATAAACAGGCTCAAGCGATCGAGTTTTAAAATAATAATTAATGTCTTACTCTTGATAAATGGACAATTAGTTTAATATGGAATGCAAGTATTCCAACATCAAATGTTTGGGTCGAAAGTATATACTTCTTGAAAGTGGACGTAACATAAAGTATACAAACAGATATATTTCTCATACAAAAGAAAATAAAATAAACATATGAAGATATAGGATTCCTAGTATTAGAATTTGAAATGCTTATAACGCAGAACTATATGAGGTATTTGATTTCAACTTCTTGGTTTTGTTGAACATTCTTCTCATGCTCAAACTGGAAACATCAGACAGCCATTCTTGAGAAGAGCACTTGAATTGTGCATATATTCTGGTGTGAATCAATAGATATATCATCGTCGACTCGCTGCTGCTGCGATCCCGGCAGCTATAAGCCCCACTGCCGTAGCTGCAATGCCAATACCAATAACTCCATCTGCACATGGACATACCGCGAACCGAATTCGTTAAGGATACGATTCGACACGATAAAAAAGGTTAAAGAAAAGGTGTTCTAGAATCAGGATCTCATTGTACCTTTCGCAATTTGATCTTCTACAGTCTTTTTAAGTGCTGAGGCCTGCCTCCAATCAGGTGCAATCTACACAAACCCAAGAAATTAATTATATACAATCACTGACTCTCCACAATGGTATGATATTGTCCACTTTAAGCATAAGCTCTCATGGCTTTGCTTTGAGCTTCCCAACAAGACCTCATACCAATGGAGATCTATTCCTCACTTATAAACCCATGATCATTTCCTAAATTAGCCAATGTGGGACTCCGTCTCAACAATCCTCCCCTTAATCGAAACTCAACTCCTTTCTCTGAAGCCCTCAAGCAAAGTACACCCTTTGTTCGACACATGAGTCACTTTTGACTACACCTTCGAGGCTAGCAATTTCTTTGCTCGACATTTGAGGATTCTATTCACATGGCTAAATTAAGGGCATGGCTCTTATACCATGTTAGGAATCACGACTCCACAATAGTATGATATTGTCCACTTTGAGCATAAACTCTCATGACTTTACTTTGTGTTTCCTCAAAAGGCCTCATACCAATGGAGATATATTCCTCACTTATAAACCCATAATCTTCCACTAAATTAGCCAATGTGAGACTCACTCTCTTCCAGGATCACTCCTTCATTCATCAAAATCTTTGAAAAAGTTTTATGAGTCATGCAGATCATGGTTGCACTTGTAAGTAAGGTTCAGAAAGGACATGCATAATTCAACCAACCAAATTACAAGATGAAGCATTTGTGCAATGATGTGTGATGCCACCAATGAACATTGTAGCTAGCAGAATACCACCATCTCACATGGTTTAGAAACATAACATTTTTCTACAAGCTGTAAAAGTAAAGTACTAGAACAAACCTGTAAACATTTTTCTAAAAGCTGCCGACTCCTTACATATTCAGCATTTCTGTAATATCCAACAGCCAACAAATAAAGTTTCTCCCTCTGTTGCAAAGGGGCCCTAGTATTGGTTAAGGAAGCTGCAAATCACATATTAATCCAACTTTAAAAACTCATCCATACAAATAATAAGCTTTGAGAAAAATGGTTCAACTTGCTTAACTATGTTTGAGAATGTTCAGAACAGAGCAAACAAGATGAAAGTAGCTTCAAATTGAAATTACCTTCTCCCATTTAAGGTCTAAGATAATTTATAATCAAATTTAACGACAAGATGATTATGGCATTCGAGTTCGAGTTTGAGTTCGAGTTTCCGAGTTCACAAATTAATAACCACATATAGAGATACTGCTCGTGGCATTCGAGTTTGAGTTCAAGTTCTTGTTTCCGAGTTCACAAATTAATAACCCATATAGAAATCCTGCTCGTAGTGTTTTAGTTCTCGTTTCCGAGTTCACAGATTAATAACCACATATAGAAATATTGCTCGTTCTTCATCTGGGCCATAATGCCCTGGAAAATGGGATGTTTTTCTTTAAACAAAAACACCAGAACAGAGATACGAGTTCTTAATGAAGAAAATTGTTCAAGGATACGAGTTCTTAATGGGAACGAAGAAAGTCAAAACAACAGAACAGAGAAAAGCCCAAAAAATACAAGAGAACAAATCATTTGAAGAACAACTAAACAAACAACCAAAAACATATCCAAATTATGGCGTAAGAAAATTGACCTTTGTGGCTGCCAGTTTTGAACGGCCGCCTAGAATGTTTATACCCTACAAACTTTACTTATAAGTTGCACAGCCATTAATTAAAGGACGGTGACCTTATTAACCAAGAAGCTGACATCAAAACATATAGTGGACAAATATTTTCCTTCGTCCTAATTCAATAAACTCATAGGAATTCAAGAATATTTCTAAAACACCTACAGAAATTCCTTGCAGAATTCAGGCTGTTTGTTATCACATAATATCATGATGTAAGAGCCCAAAATGTTTATACCTTACCGCTAGCACCTTTTCAGGCTTCCCCTCAAAGTTTTAAAACGCGTCCACTAGGGAGAGATTTCCACACCCTTATAAGAAATGTTTTGTTCCCCTCTCCAACCGATGTGGGATCTCACAATCCACTCCCTTGGGGACTCAGTGCCCTAGCTGACATACCGCCTGGTGTTTGGCTCTTATACCATTTGTAAGAGTCCAAGCCCACCGCTAACAGATATTGTTCTCTTTGGTTTCCCTTTCAAGCTTTCCAAATGTGTCCACTAGGAAGAGATTTCACACCCTTATAAGAAATGTTTCGTTCCCTTATCCGAGGTGAGATTTCACATATCATCACAGGCATGATGCATTTTCTTTGCTGTAACCTCAAGTTCAAACATGATTTACCTTCAAGCATTGCTATGCCACGATTAATGTCCTCCGATTGCCTTGAGTGAACAAGCGCCCATGATAACCTCATGATACTTTCATTCTTGCGTTCTTCTGAGGCACCTCCGCTGGCCTCTGCAACTTCTCTTTCACACCCCTGAAATTCAATATGCAGTTTAAATCAAATAGATACCATGTTTCAATCTGCAAACCCTAGATCAATTGCACACCTATTTTTGTATGGAAAAAATCCAATTTCTTCTTCTACAAAGTTTATTAGTAAAGCTATGTTCGAAAAACGTATATCTAAGCACGACAAAATTCATCGATCGGAGTCATTCTTCTCCGTTTTTCCTTTCGTATTATAGAAGATCGAACAGAAAATGTTACGTTTAAAACAAGAATTTAAGTGAATAGAAGAAAACTCACTACGATAACATCACGATCGCACCATGGAATTTGGTCGCCACCGCCGAAGAACGAAGAAACGGACTCGAACATTTTTCCAATCTTTGCCTCCATTAAATCGATGAATCAACTAATTTCAGAAGATCAAAGGAAACGAAAGAGATGATTAACGAAGAAGAAAATGAATTTGAAGGTGTAAAACAAGACAAGATGTTCTAGATTTGAATTTGGTGTTTATATAACTATGAATCAAATTTAAAGTTTTTCTATTTTCTATATATTTCAGTTTCTTCTGAATTAAAATAGTCAATCTCAATATAGCTAACGCTGAATATGTAATGCCATGTTTTTAAATTCATAATACTTCAACTATCTTCTCTACCATTCTCTCGTTCGTGGTTCGTTCGAGTTTATTTGTTTGACATCTTTATCGTACTCTTTGGTTCGATTTGAGCTTCTCCGTTTGTCATCTTCATTGTACTCCTTTGTTTAATTCGATCATCTTTTCAGTTTGAGTAACTCTATGGATGATCAACTGTATTGTCGGGTATCATGATCTCCTGCATATTCAGCATCATAGTATCACGCTAGCTTGTAGTCATCTCTTCTAAAGACCATAGTCAATTGTACATTTGATATGTCTAGGGTTTGTCGAGCCGCACGAGGCCTCTTCAGACTTTGCATGTACCGACTAATGGTTCCACTCGATTTTCAAATCTCTTTGGTTGATTCATAGATCTCCTTGTCTATAACTTCCATTCTTTGCTTACCGTAAGTGCAGGCGGGACAGGTACAGTAGTGATCTTCGCCACTGAACTAAACGTTTCATTATGGCCTAGTCCATATTTTTTAGAAAATCTTTGAACCATAAGTCGAGCCTTATATCTCTTGATTAATTCGTCTCGGGGACACTTTATTTTGTAAGCCCACTTGCAAAAGATGTGTTTGACATCTTGTAATCTTGGCATGAGTTCCCCGGTTTGATTTTGTTCTAAGGCTATTAATTATTCATTCATTGCCTTCTGCCAATCTGTATTTTGTGATACTTTTTCATATGTCTAGCTCTTTAACTTCGTCTACTATAGTAGTTACATTGACATACTTTGGATTTGACTTTTGGATTCTTTCTGACTGTCTAATTTGTTGAGGCGTCATTTCTTTTTCACTAGGTTTGCTTGGTTGAGACACTTCTTGCTCACCAACATCAGTGTCACTTGGATCTTCAGCATAGTTTGCTCTTCCATCTTCTGTGGTAGAATTTCTTCGATGTTGTTCGAGTCTGGTAATACTTTCTTCTTCGAGAGCCATCCCGCTTCTATTACACCACTATAATCGTCAATCATGTGGTTTGAGTTATTCTAAATCAATGATTCATTCATTCTTATAATTAGTATACCTCTCTCATCATCGCCATGAGCGCTAGCTCGTTTTCTTCTACGGCATATAGTACCTCTACATCCCATTTATCCTCCGTCTTCTTTTCGAAGGTTCACGCATGGCTTTCGACAGACTTTTGCCTAGACCAACAATCCATTCACATGTGGTTCTTCTTCCCACAATTATAGAAAATACCTTCAAATCTCTTTCCTTGAGAACTCTCGTTGTTGTTCTTTTGAGTTTTCCTAGGTTGTGTGTCCTTGGTGACTTCTTCCTTTATTAACATTTTTATATCCACATTTGGTAGACGACTTATTATTGCTCCGACTTTCACTTGTGAAGAATATTTCTTCTTCAACCTTCAACGTGATGTCTCCCATTTGTTTAGTCATGACTTCTTGGCTGACTAAAAATTTTCGAACACTACAAGTGATGGTTGAGCAGGCCATCCTTGTACAACAATAACAAAAAATTTATATTGTAGTCGCAATTCATGAATAATGATCCTCTTCATTCGAGCTTCTCCAATAATGGACTTCAAGTCTAGTTTAGTAATCTTTCGATAGATCAACTTGACTCTATGGAACTACGGAGTAATGTCATGTCACGTTGTGATATTGATAACAACTCGTTCTCTAAAAGTTTTAGTCTCGTATCGTTCTTCTTTAAGAACAATATCCCAAACATATCACATGCTTCTCTCAGTGTCTTATCATCTTGAATGTGCTCTAACATCTCTTCTTTGATTATGGTCTTCAAGGCAAATACTGGTTTGTCTGCTTTAATTCACTATTTGCGCAAGACACCATTAAGATCCTCCTCTGACGGCTTAATTTCATTCCCCACCAGTGACCTCTCAGTTCTGTCTTTATATATAGGATATCATGCATGTTGTTACATGTTGTAGTGGTTGTTGTTGAGTTTTCTAATTCCTCCAACAATTTGAGAATCACTCATCGTATTGGAAATACCTCAGTAATATCAAACAGGTCTTTTCGATACAAAACTTGCAGAGTCATGGACTACTCATGAAACAAAGAAACTCACTCACTAATACTCTCAAAAAATAATTTCTGATGTGGAAGATCGGACAAAGCTGCAACCACAGAACATACTAAGAATTCCAAAAGATTAAACAACCTACACCAACCTTGCTCTGATACCAAATTGTCGAACACAATTATTTATGGTAAACACTCACACTGTTTATTAAAACCAATCGCAAATTCCTTCCATTTCTATTATACTCGATTATGTGTGTGTATATATATATCCCTCTCTTTTAATTATTATTCCCCACTTTCCCTATCTTCAAGTGGATAGGAAACTTGGCCACTTTTATATCATTTTCCATATCCCCATCTTCTTTCCAACCCTTCTCAAGCTCTTCAATCACTTCATTGCTCAAAAGCTCCACTCCCAAACCTTTAGCCGTCTGATATGAAGACCAAGACCTCAAGTATGTCAAATAGTCCTCAAACTTCATCTCCTTCTCCGCTGCGAACACCGTTATTGTCCCCTCTTCGTCTACCGACTCGAAAGGAAATTCGATCGTTTTATACTCTTCGTCTATAAAGCGACGTGGTGCCTCCCAATATGGTCCAAAATTTGTAGTGTAGATGCGACGGAGGACTGCATCGATAGCATTGTTGACTTCGGGTAATGTGTAGCACCATACAGCAATGATGCCGTGAGGCTTCTTTAAGACCCATCGGACGTTTTTGTAGAACGATGGAAGGTCGAACCAATGGAGGGCTTGTGCGACGGTGACTAAATCAACGGACCCTTGTGGTGCCACTATTTGCTCGACTTCAGCGATGGACATTGTTGGCGGGGTGTGGCGGTAGTGAATATTGGGATGTTTGGTTGCAAAGTCGAGTTGTTTTGGACTTGTGTCTGTGGCAATAACCGTGGTGTAGTGTGCAGCCAGCTGAAATGGTCGACAATACTAATGAGCTAATAAACTTGACTTAATATAATTAATTTTAGGAGTAACTTTAAGAGAATTGTCAGTAGAGTTAGTAGAATAAGTTACTTTTTACTTGTTTCGACGTATTTGGACTATGGTTGACCATACCGACACAAGTTAACTCACTTATCAATATTGAATCTTTGGGAAGCATAGTATGTGAAGAGAACTTACAGAGTGAGCAGCTTGGCCGGTGCCGGTGCCGACGTCCCAAACGAGGTCATGGACGGGTGTCTTCGAAGCGATATATTCGAAGAGCTTAGCTGGGTAAGTGGGTCTTCCGGCTGCATATTGCTCGGCTTGTTTTATGAACAGCTTAGCCATTTCTTTGTGTGTTGCGTGGTTGAGTGGAAGATTTTGGTAGCCATGGCGGCCAACTTATAGGAAGAAGAAAAGGGCGGGTGCCCAGCGCAGCCGTGACGTGATAGAACATGATGATGCAAGTTCATGAAAAGGACTTGGAATATTGCTTTTTCTAAAATGAGCTGTTCTTATTTGACCATTCTAATGTCTTTATTTGGGGGAGGGATTATTTGGGACGACCTAATTTTACTTACAAAATTCGAAAATTAGAGTTTAAAATTTACGTTTCTCGCACCAAATCATATGGGTAGAGATGGGGACTGGGAAGGTTGTTCAGTTACCGTCTTTGCCTTAAATTCTTCATCATTTAATGAAGAATTTGTGAGATCCCACATCGATTTGGGAGGGGAACGAGAACCATCAAATACCCTAAGCCCCGAGAAAAGTGGATTGTGAGATCTCACATCGATTTGAGGAAGGAACGAGTGCTAGAAGATGAGATCACACGTGTCGGTTGGAAAAAGGAACAAAACATTATTTACAAGTGTGTGAAAACCTCTCCGTCTACGACAAACACTTATAAAAACTTTTTAAAAATATTGATAGAAGCCCAAAAGAAAAAGTCCAAAGAGGATTGAGGGAGAGCCGAAATATAACGTTACAACATAGTTGGCTCACGTTGCCATACAATCTAACGACCGTGAAACTTTCTTCTCTCCTAAGCTTCAGAACCCTACTATGGTTTTGACTTGAACTTACCTTGAGAGCTTCCTTCTCGAGCTCTAGGCTCCACAATGTTCACTCTTCCATCTTAGCTGGTCTATCCTGCACTCTCTAATTATATTCCTTGTAAAGAGAAAAGAATTATGTATTCTCTTGCATTAGTCTTGATCAATCGACTCTCCTACCTAAATCATCTCAATTTTTCAATTCGTTCCAATCCATTCGTTCGTCGAGTTATTTACTCAATAGTAGACAAGTTTCACTATCTCCATTATTGAATTATGTAAATAAATAGGGTTTTGATTCAATGAATTGACTTTGCTTAACCTCGAACCCCTCTTTCTTTATTATTTCACTCTTCTTCTCTTACCTCATTCATCGAGCTCAAGCTATTTTCATCTCATTGTTTGTCATAGAGTAACTATTGAGATATAATATTTGGAGAATATATTAGTTATGGAATATATGTTAGATATTATATCTTAATATTTTTTCTTTACTATTTGATTTGCAGTATATTTTATTTTATTCTCCATCTTTAATTAGTTTATATTTTCATTAGTTGGTAGCTTGTATCCTATTTCAAGGTTATGAACATCAATGAGAATACACACCTTCTATCCCAATTCTATTTCTCATTCTTAACATGCATCGTTATTCTTAAATATCAAAATTTCCTCTTGAGTTAGGGTTTGGTATCAGAGTCAAAGTCAAACTCTAACTTAATCAGTGAAGCTTTTACAGTAGTAGTCGATCATCCATGGTGATAAGTCAATCGTATTACAACAAACACAACTTCCTGCTTTCAACCGTTAGTGTGATACTCGATTGACTTGTCACGATGCCGACGATGGAATAAATTAGAATTAGAATTTAAAAAAAAAAAAAAAAAAAAAAAACATTGATTGAGAAGCATTTAATATTATTTTGAGCGTGCAAGGAACAAGGCGTACGTGAGAGAACACGTCAGTCCCTTCACGTGCTTACTTGGGGACAAAGACAGCGTGGAAAGAAGTTCAATTTTAATTTTTCTTTTGTCTCTTTCCACTCACTTTCTACACATGGATATTTAAAGAATTACGTGGATATTTTTAATAGGGTGGAGTACCTCCACATAAAATTCAATCTCGGAAATAAAATAAACACAGATTAAGGCCAACTAAGTAAGTGGTCTTACTATCGGAAGACTTGTCTTATGTATGATGATACGTGTCTAGTGGCCCTTGCACGTGTCATGTATGTTTATGTAACATTATGATGTGTTATAATAATGATAGAATGATGTAATTTGATATGACATGATGTATTATGATGATGCGATAACACGATGATGCAATTTGATATTTATGACAGGAACATCTAATATTTTCTTTTAAGTGGGTATTTTCTTTTAAAAAAACATGGAGGATTTTATTCTCCAAAATTTTATAATGAGAATAAAAAAAAAACATGTCTTAGTCCGAACATGGTTGAATGTGGTAGTTCTTTACACATGGCCTATGCATGCAAATATGGGTCTATTAGGCGTGCTCGCATATTCCCTAGGTTTGGCTCGTCGAGCTACACTTGCTAATGGGTTGTCAAATGTCACGATTATGCTTGTCCATGTTGCCTGTGGCCGCATGTCGGATATTCCAATCATGCTTGTCTAAGACATATTGTTCATGGTCGCATGCCTGTTCCAAACCCCTCTTACTTGTTTTCACGTTAGATAGACTTTTTCTATTAATGTTGTGTCAACACACGGTGTATGACCAGTCACCAAAATCAGATCTACACCACTCAAGGCTAAAATACTCATAACTTACTATAAAGGGAATATGACTAATTGTTAATTCTTCGTACCTGTGTTATATGTTATCAAAGTCATTGTTGTTGATTATCAAAGTCAATTTTTTTTCAACGCATTTCCTTGATCACGTTTTCTAAAATTTTCTTTCAAACATGACCCGAGGCTCAATCTTTCCCTACATTATATAAAATGATCTACTAGGCTTGTCTGTAACCGTTCAAGTCTACTACTAGCAGATATTGTCTGCCACTCTGGTCCGTTACATATTGTGGTCAGCCTCACGATTTAAAAACGTGTATGTTAAGGAGAGGTTTCTGCACCCTTATAAGGAATGTTTCGCACCCCTCTCCAATCGATGTGGAATCTCACAATCCATCTCCTTGGGGGCCAACATTCTTGCTTTTACCATTTTTAACAGCTCAAGCCTACCATTAACGAATATTGTTTACTTTGGCTCGTTATGTATCGTCGTCAGCCTCACGATTTTAAAACTTATTTGTCAGGGAGAGGTTTACACACCCTTATAAGTAATACTTCATTTCTCTTTCCAACTGATGTGAGATCTCACATGTATCCATACAATTCAATCACATGCTAGATCATTCCTTGTTATGATGTGATCTACTAGGATTATGTCCAACATGATATGAGCTCACACGACAAGACCACCTCGTATGTATATGAGATGATCTACTAGGGTTGTGCTCTATCTGATATGAACCCACATGAGAGGTCGTTTTTGTGTGTATATGATGTGATCTACTAGTAATTTATTTAAAAAAAAAATATATTTTAATTTTCAATTTTTAATTACTATTCTTACCCTTTTAAAATTTAAAAAATAGGAATGAAAATTTTAAGATATTTTTAGAAAAAAAAAAAAAAAAATTAAACGTTTTGATGAGATTTTGAAAATTCAAAATTTTAAATAACATATAAAAAAATTAAGGAAAGGAAAAATCCAAAAAGAAAAAACAAATTGCCAAAATGGATCCTCCTTCAAAACAAACGGGATTTCGCGGTTGAGCCGTTGGATGTGATAGAGCGTAGCCAGTAGCCGGAGGAGAGCTTTGGATCGGAATCAATGGAGTTCCTTCCGATTTCACTTGATGCTTACAGATTAGGGTTCATCGGAGCTGGAAAAATGGCGGAGAGTCTAGCAAGGGGAATCGTCCAATCTGGTCTCTTACCTCCTTCTCGAATCTCCACGGCTCTCTACCCCACTCCTGGCCCCCCCATTGATTTCGAATCTTTCGGTGTTCGAGTCCTCCCCAAGAACGAAAATGTATGGTTATGCTTCATCTTCATCTTTCTACTGCATCGCCTTAATCGCCCTTTACGTTTTCTTTTTTCATCGATTATGTTCAGGTGGTTGAAGAAAGTGATGTGGTCATCTTCTCTGTAAAGCCTCAAATCGGTACGGCGCTTGTTCATCTCTCATCTACTCTTGTCATGTTTTCCCCATTTGTTTATTCATTCATTTTTCTCCTTGGTATTCTCGTTGTCCTCTTGAAAGATATTTAAAAAAATTAATTGAGGAATGTCTCTGGTGATTTATATCTCGAAATGCTATGTTTTATGTGTGATTTATTGGGTTTATAATGATTTCTCTTTCGATGAACTTTATGTTAAATCGTTCTCTGATGGGTAATACTGGTTGCAGTTAAGAATGTGGTGTTGAAGCTGAGGCCTCTACTGGGGAAGAAGCTTTTGGTTTCGATTGCTGCTGGGATAAAACTGAAGGATCTGCAGGTTCTTCACTTTACTAGTTTTTTTTGGATTTTCTGATGGATGAGATTTTCTTGAGTTAAGAGTGTTATGTGGTAAAACAGCAGCCTCAGGGATTCTGATGCATATAGCTTTAATTATCATATCAATTTTGGGTTTCTCTTTGAATAATTTTGCCTGAAATTTTTTTATGGAAGGAAGTTTTTACTGATTTCTTTTTCTTTTGCTGTGAAGGTTAAGTTTGACGTGATTTTCTCTAACCTTGTGAGATCCCACCAGCGAGGAAACGAAGCATTCCTTATAAGAATGTAGAAACCTCTCCCTAGTGAACGCGTTTTAAAATCTTGAGGGGAAGCCTGGGAGGGAAAGTCCAAAGAGGACCATATCTGCTAGTAGTGGGCTTGAGCTGCTACAAATGGTATCAGAGCTAGACACCGTGCGGTGTGCCGGTTGGAGAGGGGAACAAAGCATTCCTTATAAGGATGTGGAAACCTCTCCCTAGTGGAAGCACAGAACGGAAAGCCTAAAAAGGACAATATCTGCTAGCACTTGGATGATTAAAAACCTTTTGTAGTGTTTTCAAGTGTTTGGTTGAATGGTTAAAAGTAAGTTCATTAATTCTCAAATCATTCTGAAGCATTTCAAAGTACTTGAACAATAAGCACCTGGGATGAATTTTTGATTACTTTTAGAATGGTGAATTTGTGATTACCTGGGATGTTTCAAAATTTTCGAAGTGTTTGGTTAGATAGTTATGTGTTTGATTACAAGTTCTTGAAGTGATTTGATGAGAATCACTTAATTAGTGTTTCTTTCAAGAGTCTTCATAGAAGAAGTGTTCTGATTTAAAAGCACTATTTTCCTTCAAAAGCTTGAATTAAGCCACATACTTGTTCCTTTTATTCTTCCTTTTTTCTTTAGAATATACCTTTTGTTCTTTCTTTTCTACGTACAAATTGCTGTTGTAGTAATGCTTTATACATTCAGGATTGGGCAGGTCATAGCCGATTCATTAGAGTTATGCCAAATACTCCCGCAGCTGTTGGAGAGGCTGCATCAGGTATTATCTTTTCCTCTTTGGTTTAAATTTAATGTCATCTCTCTCTCTCATATATGTTTCTAGAATGCTGAAATAAGTATTACTTCTTATGAGATGATAAAATTGATTTGAACGGTACTAAATTAGAGGCTAAATTAATAAAAATGCCTCGAAATTATGTATTATTTTGTAAAAAAAAACTACTTAATTTTCAAAAGTTTCGATGGTACTCTTAAACTTTTAAAAAAGTTTCAAATATATATTTAGCGGCTAGTTTTGAAAGGAAATTGTTAGTGTTTTCTTTCAAAAATACCCTTGAATTTCAAGTGTTTCATAAATGCTATGTAAGCTTATTAAGTTTCATTAATAGCTTTCAACGTTTTTAAAACGTTAAAAATTATTCTTTCCGTTAGTACCATGTTTAAAAATATTTGTGAACTTTTAAAAGTAGTATTGACACCTTTCATCTTTGTAAGAAAAAACTTTTAAAAAATTCTTACCGTCGATGTGTGGATCGAAACCATCTATTTACACTTTATAAATCATATTTCTCCTCAATTTTAAGGGTACTAATGATTTTAATTTTAAGAAGTATGGTGATAACGGTTTTGTCCACGTACCAACACTCTTAAAAATACTCTAAGAGTATTAATAAAACTTTTCAATTTTTAAGAGCATTTTTAAAATACTTTTAAAAATTCAATGGTGTTTTTGAAATACTCTTGAAAAGTTCATGAGTATTTTTGAAATTTTTTTATAGTTCAAGGATATTTTTAAAATCAAGTAGTAACGGTTTCATCCAAAATTAACCATACTAACCATAAGAGTATTTTTTAACATTTTTTTAAAAAAGTTTAAGGATGTTTCTAACTTTCTTGTGAAAGTTTAAAGATGTTATTGATACTTTTCGAACTCGAAGAAATATTCATGAATATTTTATTTATTTAGCCTTAATTATATTATAATGTATGTTTTAGCAGTCACAACTGCTAATGGAACTAGGGATCCAATTAATTGGCCAATCAGGGTGCAGGTTTTGAATTACATTTGATGAATCTTCTTTGAAATCCTACACTTAATGAATCGTTCCATTACAAATCATATAAGAAAAAAGATACAGGCATCTTGGAACTTTAAATAAATAAAAGAAAAAAAAAAAGAAAATAATTTGAGGATGAAGGTTTCTTCATATGCTAGCCTCAATCTAGACAATGCAGCTTCTTTCTCTTTAAATTCTTTCATGTTCTGCAAAATTTTGTTCAACTTTCTAATTGATAGTCTGAATTACTTGGAAGCAACCCAAACTCGCAAAATATACTCACCAACTTCAGTACTACTTTCATTACATGATGTGGATGACAGATATCAAGATTTTCAATTCGTCTTGCTCCGTGCGTAGCATGGAGAAGAACAAAAAATACACTAATGTTTTATGGTACTGACCAATGAAAAGTTCTGCTTTTTTGTTTTGACCAGTTATGAGCTTGGGAGAAGGTGCGATAAAGGAGGATGGGCAACTAATAGCTAAATTATTTGGATCTGTGGGTAAGATATGGGAAGCTGAAGAGAAGTTGTTTGATGCAATCACTGGTTTGAGGTATGTTATATGTTTGCAAGAGTTGAGTCCCACAGTCTTACAAGACTCAAAAATTTCTTCTTTCTATTGCCACTTACTAATTATGTTGGAGCCTGCTTTTGTTGGGGATACAAGATAAAATGATAGGATATTATCAGAATATTTATTTTGTTAGGATATTAGAATAGTACTGGAGTATTTACGGACATAGTGTCAATGAAGACGTTGGTCCTGAGTGGGGATGGATTGTGAGATTCCACGTTGATTGGAGAGAGCAATGAATGCCAGCGAGGATGTTGAGCCCCAAAGGTGGTAGATTGTGAGATTTCACATCAGTTGGAGAGGGGAACGAAACATTCTTTATAATGGTGTGGAAACCTCTCCCAAGCATACGCGACTTAAAAGTCGTGAGAGGAAGCCTGAAAAGGAAAGTACAAAGAGGACAATATCTGCGAGCAGTGGCTTGGGCTATTACATAAAGGGTTTAGAGACGAGCATATTTTTTATATAGCCTCGGTAGAGAACTAAGCCTCTCAGACGGTGGGTAACCCTTTGTAATTTTCTTTCTAACGCATCCTTCCAGTTTTAGGGCCTTGGCATTCTTCAACTAATAGATACCATTATTTGTCAATGGAAATGTGCAGCGGTAGTGGGCCAGCGTACATATTCTTAGCAATAGAAGCTTTAGCTGACGGAGGAGTTGCTGCAGGTCTACCACGAGAACTTGCACTGGGTCTAGCTTCTCAAACTGTGAGTTAAATTCATCTGATGTGCCTGTGTCTAAAATATTTAATGTTGTGGGCCATAATGACATAACTCGTCTGTAATTAATGTATAGCTTCTTTATCTTGGCATTTTATTTTATAAAAAGAGAAAAGATCGAGCTTGGCTTTTGATTTGAAGGACAAAAAGCTCAAAAGTAAACGGTCTTAGAAGAAAATTAAATTTTCAAACGAGGATGTTCTACCATTTGTATAATTAAATAACTGAAGAAGCAGACGCTTTTATGATATATAATGCTTGCATATTCCAACCTTATTATCTGATAGAAGTCATACAGAACATGAGGATGATAAAAGTTATCACGAGATCCCATCAGTTGGAGAAGGGAACAAAGCATTCTTTATAAGGGTGTGGAAAATTCTCCCTGATGCGTTTTAAAGTAGACAATAATGGACTAAAGCAGACAATATCTGCTTGCAGTGGGCTTGGGCTATTACAAATGGTATCAGAGGCAAACACCAGACGATATGTCAGCGAGGACGTTGGCTTCCCAAGGTGGATGGTTTGTGAGATTCAATATCCATTGGAGAGGGGAACGAAGCATTCCTTATAAGGGTGTGGAAACTTCTCCTTAGTCGTGAGGCTGATGAAGATACGTAACGGGCTAAAGCGGACAATATCTGCTAGCAGTGAACTTGGGTTGTTACAAATGGTATTAGAGTCAGACACTCGATGGTATGCCAGCGAGGACGTTGGGCTCCCAAGGGAATGGATTGTGAGATCCCATATCGATTGGAGAGGGGAATGAAGCATTCCTTATAAGCATGTGGAAACCTCTCCCTAGTCGTGAAACTGACAACGATACGTAACGGGCTAAAGCGGATAATATCTACTAGCCGTGGCTTGGGCTTTTATTGTTAAAATATTTCTTAAACTAAACAGCCATGAACTCATGATCTTCCACTATGTAGGCAGGTTATCCATCTTAGCTCCTAACTGCACTAGTTCCATATGACTTCCTATCAAGTGAAACATGTTAAGAGTAGTTATTTGGTTGTGAACCAATCGAAATGAACTGATTCAGAATTTGTTTATAGGTGCTAGGTGCAGCCACCATGATCACCAAAACTGGGAAGCATCCAGGGCAGCTGAAGGATGATGTAACATCACCTGGAGGGACAACAATTGCAGGGATTCATGAACTAGAGAAGGGAAGACTCCGTGGCATATTCATGAACGCTGTGGTCGCTGCTGCGAAGCGTAGCCAAGAACTTTCGGAAAAGTAGTTGCCAATATTGAACTTGCTAGTAAGGTTAGAGTTAATTTTATTTTGTCTCTAAGTCTTGAAGAGGTGATGAAATAAAGTAATGAAACTTGCACCCTTTCCTTTGCAATATGAATGAACAACCAAATCCATCACTCTTTTAGGCTGATTGTTTGTAGCTTAGACTCCTCCCTCCCTTCCCCACTTTTGAAAGTATTTGAATCTGTGATTGGACTAGTTGTACAACCATTAGGGTGAGCCTTTAAATGTCGAAAAATCGAACGGATCGAATACAGTTGGTTGAATCGACCTTTAACTGCGAGTACTTGCATAGCAAATTTGACCCATCAACCAACAATGTTTATGGATTGGATTGTGACACTTATTGTTAGGAATCACATATCTCTACAATGGTATGATATTGTCCACTTTGAGAGGATATGCTCTCTTGGCTTTGCTTTCGGGCTTCCTCAAAAGGCCTCACATACAATAGAGATGTATTCATTTGCTTATAAATCCTTGATCATTCCCTAAATTAGCCAATGTGGGACTCACTTCCAACAATCCTCAAACACTTAATGACAATTTTTGAACGTGACTCAATTAAATATTATTTTTAAATATTAAATTAAAATTTTTAACTCAATTTTAATATATTTTGAAAATAAAACTTCAAATTTTGTTTTAAAAATAATAATTATAAAATTAAATAAAATGAAAAGAAATATATATTTAAATAATTAGTATGTTTCCAAATTAATTTACCTAACTCATAAAGTTTTTATTTACTTTGTTTTTATTATTAATCAAACACTGAGACATGCTTTTCTTTATAATTCTTCAAAAGAATGTTTGTTAAAAAAAAGATTAAATTAAAAAATTATTAGAAAATATAAATTGCTACACTTATCTAATGGTTGACATCATAACACTTGTTTAAATTTTAACGAAAGTGGAATGGAGCGTTGCGCGGAGAAATCTGACGAGAGACACAAAGTAGAGAAGTTTGACGAAAGTGGAATGAAGCATTGAGCGGAGAAATCTGACTAGACAAGAGTTGAGAACTGAGAAGTCGAACGACAACACACAAAGAGAGTCGTGAGGAGTCGAACACGAAGACGAATGTTGTGATGTGAGACTGCGAGACAAAGTGTTGAGCTCACGGTCAAAAAGCATAGAGAGAGTCTATAGAGTGCAAACACGTCAGGGGTAGACACAAAAGATGACTCATGGGCTTGGGCTACGTGGGTTTTCTGGTGCGTAGATTTGAGCCTATTTTATTTTAAGGTTTCTGGGTTGGGTCGAGTTGACCCAAAATTTGAATTTTAAACCCGAACCCAACTCAAACTGGAAATCCTTTTAAAACCAACCCAACTCTTATAATTTGGGTTGGATGGGGTTGAGTTCTCAGATTAGCGGGTTCGATGTACCTCTGTGAATTAGCATAGCACAAATTTTAACACTTTTTGTGAGTAAATAATTCAAATGGATTAAATCATGGTATATTGTTATACGGCACATTGTACTTCTACTCTTTTCATGATATAAGTCTCCTAATGAGAAATACATACGTATACATAACATATCTTTCATTACTATCATACATGGCTCATCAATGTCTTATAGGCATAACATCAAATAATATCATAACATAATCATAACATAACATAACATGTCATTCATACAAAATTCATGTCTTGCAACAAAATCCGAAGGCATTTGAACAGTAAGTCTACTTCTTTAGTTAGTCTAAGTGGAGTCGCTAAATACCCTTGGTGCAAGTCTGTTCCTGCTTCTCGGAGTTTGGTGTCAAAAAAAACTATTAACATCCAAAAAGTTAAAGCCCTAAATCTCAGCTTCGGCAACCCAACCATCCAAACCTATGTCACCTTCAACGGTCCATCTTTCGACCACGGATTAATTGATGCTTTTACATGGTTTAAGCCCTTTAATATGTTCTAACTCGATGTCGTGGACCCACGTAGGTTGAATTGAACTTCGAAAGTAGATCCAAACTAACTCCAAAGAATAAATAGTGACTTAAACTTAGGTCAACCAAATTAGTGGTTCTATTATTGGGCGCCCATAGGCTTGGTTGGATGACTTGTATGCTGTATGAATGACTCGTACCCTATGACCCTTGTACGTGTCATATTTTATGATTCTATGGTGTATGATATGTGTTATGTTATGTGATGATTTATACTATGATATGATTTATATTATGATATGAACCATGTTATGATATCAATGTTATATGATGGATGAACTTTCATATGTTACCATACATATATGTTGCATGTTCAAACTATACTGATGAGATATACATGGGCATATCTCATAGGAACACTATGTCATGAAAAGAAATGGAGGTATGACTTACCTCATAAGTATGTGCTATGATTTGAAACTATGAGGTCTCATGCACTTTGTATATCACATGCATCGAGATACTTTCTCATTGTGATTAGTACGGACGAGTACACCATGATATTATACAAACTCCTTTACCTCCATAGTTTTCGATAGTGTGAGTGTGTGCTAGCTCGTAGTTAGACTTAGAGGGTACGTGTACGAGTCTGTCCCACCAAGTGGGTCCATGTGTTCTTGCCATGAGCCCCGTGTGGAGAATTGCATTTTCTGATCTCAATAGTGAGACTACTTACCGAGTATTTTTAAATACGCAAGCTATGTGCTATTTCTTTTTTAGGTAAATGTAAGATACCCATTTACATATGTCGACATCGTTGTGAAAGCCATAGAAGTCACATTTGTACTTAATGTTGGAAGTCACATTTGCACTTAATGTTGTAGCCCTTAGGTTAAATCAACGTGTTAACATTATTTTCAAATCGGGTTATTTATTGTTTTGCCAGAAAAAAAAAAAAAAAAAAAAAAAAAAAAAA